TAGAAGGAATTTAGGAAGCAAAATATGAGACGCAAAGTTCTCTCATACAAGATGGGTCATCCGTTAGCAGACTGCGTGACCTAGCATAAAAGAAATGATCGACTACAGCAAAGTACAAGACTTAGAAGTCTGAAATTTTGCACATAATCCTAAATATGTCTAAGCATTATAAAAGAATACTTGAACTCAAACTGAGGCTTTTAGAAGAACCGGGGGAAAAAACTTTTGGAGTGCCCCATGTAATTCTCGTAAGAATAACGATAATCCAAGCTTATTCTACTAATACTGTCTTTCTACGCACAGAAGAAATCTGTTGATGAAAGTTTATCTTTCAATTGATTATTCTTGTATGAAACTGTTCAAGAGACCAAACATCGTTGAACATTTTAATTCTTTCTTTCTTTCTCGTAGCATCCATTTCATAATCTACAAATATCAGATCATCATCATCATCATCTTCCAATATCTTTCTCGAAGGTATTGCATGAAAATAGCGTCTATACGAAGTATGGGTTGGCCGATTTTATAATAATCCTTGTGGTTAGTAATGTGCATGATGTATAACTTATACAAAAATTACTATTGCATTGATAAATCGTGCGATGATCTCATATATTTTTTATTCAAGCTAAGATCAACATCAACATTCAACAATATATCGATAAATATTCAACCCATTCAAAACAAACACATAGTTTTTAGTTGCAAATACGATTGTGAACGCGAAGTTGGTAGCCACTTCTGCTATTATTGTTGAATCGACAAGTGTCATCGGTGTTCGTTTAAAATCTTTTCCAAATTTCAATTGTTGTACGACGAGTGCATTTTTTCGACTATGTACTGTAGCTAGATAGAAACAACGATTTCTCACTTGTGAAATACTAGCTGACATGGTATATGTTAAAATAGCATCAGTATCATTTAATATTGCTCCATAAATGAGATCACAAGAAGAATTAGTTGGTAATGTAAATTGTGTGTTCATAATCATAACTGACCAAGTAACTGGATCACTTGTAATCG